GAATACTTCCGGTAGCGAAACGCGGCAGTAGCCTACCGATCCTGCCGTTATTAGGGGTTCTCGGCTCGTTGGTCGGCGGAGCGGCGAAAGTCGCAAAGGCCGTGAATGATAACAAAGCCGCGCGACGTCAGCTGGAAGAGATGCAACGTCACAATCGCGCCATGGAAGGTCACGGATTTTATCTCGCTCCGTACAAACGCGGACGAAGAGTCTCGAGAAAAAAAACGTCGAAGAAACGCTAAAAATCCCCAAGGGTGTAACTACCAATGTCCAACTGCAACAATTGGCAAAACGTATGCGCATTCCATATTTTAGAGGTATTTTCATGCGCGACTCGCTACCGATCGGCGGTATACGTCGAAACGAGAGCGGTATCGTGAATTTGCATAATACTGAGGGACCGGGTACTCACTGGGTGGCGTACGCGAAGAGGGGAGATCGTGCCATATATTTCGACAGTTTTGGCAATCTTCGACCACCGAGAGAATTGGCGCAGTATCTAAAGAACAATGTAATAGAGTACAATCGCACGCCTTATCAGCGATACGATCAGAGCAATTGCGGACAACTGTGTCTGCGTTTTCTACAGTCGGTTGACAATCAATTTTAAGACCGGCGTTACGCTGTTTAATCTCAGTATTTATTCAAACATGAAAAAATCTAAAAATTGAGACTTTGGATGCAGATTACGAAGATATCGAATCTTTAAATAATCTAGATGTTACTAATACTGTAAGATGCGAAAAACATGTTAAGAATTGCGCATTACAAAATGTATTAAAAATATTTAACTGGTGGTCGCAACACCAAAAAAAATTATGATTTTTTTAAATAAACTATGTATATATTGTAACGATGCACCTCGTTCGCCAAGCATCGTTCCCGGCCAACAACCGCCGGATGCCGCCCGACCGACTATCAGTCGGGCGAAGACCAGGGCGCGGTGCGCCCACATTTTGATTCCATTCAATGCACGATGTTATACGCTGTTCGCAGACATGACACATGTCCGTATATCTTCATGGATGATTTCTTTTGTTCATCTTGTGGAGGCTCATTATATCTTATTACACCGTGTAATCTGTGTCCTATGTGTGTTTTTGTTTAAATTTAACTGTGTAAATAGCCTGTGTAAATAGCCTGCAGTATTTTTACCTATTTTAGTGTATACACATATTATTGTCTAAATTAAGAGACTATGGCCTGTATTCTGAAGGTGACTGACTCAAGAGCCAGGGGTTTCTGGTTCAAATCCCGCGGTGGTAAGCGAATTTCATATGTATAATATAAATTTATTTAAACGCGATCGTGAGCGAGAACGCAAACGGGACCGAGAGGGACCGCGCGCGAACGAGGGAGAGAGACCGCGCGAACGAGAAAACGCGCGCGACTGGGGGACGGGGGAAACATCTACGAGGGAGAGATAACGCGAGCGGGAGCGTGCCGTGTGACGTCACGCGGACCAGCGCGGCCGTTGCACGCGGACTTCGCGGCGCGGCAAAACGCGAACGCGGGTCCCCGCGGCGCGGCGAAAACGCGGGCCTCCTCCCCCGCGGCGCCCGAAAAGTCGGGCTTCCTCCTCCGCGGCGCCGGACAAACGCGGTACCCCCTCCACCTTGCCCCGCGACGCCCGAAAACGCGGAAGCGTCTTGTTTGACTACGTTAATATGGTGACCCCTCATTTTGTCTCAGCCCAAAACATCTCAGCAAAAATATCTCGTCTATAATATCTCAGTCTAAAATGTCTCAGTCCAAAAATATCTCAGTCCAAAATGTCTCAGTCCAAAAATATCTCAGTCCAAAATGTCTCAATCCAAAAATATCTCAGTCCAAAAATATTTTAGGCAATAATGTATCGAACAAAAATATCTCAAGTAAAATAATATTGGTGGGATGAAACGTCTGCTAAATTCATTAACGTTCTAAATCGTCGATTTAAATGATCCGGGTACATGTTTCTAGTGTTGGCTTAATTGATTGTGATTTATTATATTATTGTTATTATTTGTATATTCAGTTGATTAGAATAATTTATTATCAATGTATGGCTGTTCATGAAATGTGATACTAATTAAATGTAATATTAATTTTGTCTCCACGCATGGAAAGTCCACGCATGTACTTTGAAGGCACACTATGTGTCTAGTTTAATAATAGTGGAGCCCCCCGTAGGGGGGCGGAACCTACTGCCTCCACGCATACACTTTCCACGCGAAACAAGGTGCCACATGGGTTAACAACTTTCTACGCGTGGAAAGTCCATGCATGTACTTTGAAGGCACACTATGTGTCTGGTTTAATAATAGTGGAGCCCCCCGCAGGGGGGCGGAACCTACTGCCTCTACGCATACACTTTTCACGCAAGACGAGTTGTCACATGGGTTTACAACTGTCCTAATACTAATTAAATGTAATATTAATTTTTTATAATGATATTTTGTAATAAAAAGTTGTAACATGTAATTGATTATAATGATATTGTGTAATATTAATTGTATGATGTACCTTCGAAGTTAATTATTGTCAGAAATATTTTTGGACTGAGACATTTTGGACTGAGACATTTTTGGACTGAGATATTTTTGGACTGAGACATTTTGGACTGAGATATTTTTGGACTGAGACATTTTGGACTGAGATATTTTTCCCGAGACTTTTTTGTATGAAATCATTTAGGAGAGACATTTTGACTGGAAACCCGTTAATATTTACCACGGTCCCTATTGACCATGTTGATATTTAACACGTTGCAATTGACCACGTTGCGATTGACCACGTTGTGATTGACCACGGTCCCGATTGACCACCGTGCCGATTGACCACGGTCCCGATTGACCACCGTCCTGAATGACCACGGTCACTATTGACCACGTTGAAATTGACCACGTTGAGATTGACCACGTTGCGTTTGACCACGTTAATATTGATCACGTTGCAATTGACCACGGTCCCGATTGCCCACGGTCCCTATTAATCACGGTCCCGATTGACCACGTTAATATTGACCACAGTCCCGATTGACCACCTTCTCGTGGTGTGCCACCTTGTCACGGTGAGAGGGCTCCCTGTATCAACGATCCACTGGGGCAGTACCTTCGGTTTTACCGAAAAGAGGGCCCGGTGGGGAGGTACAGGGTCTAAGAGCACACCGTACCCTCTTCCCAGCTCGCTGGGAGTGAAGGGTATAATGGGGTCCGGCGCTCTCGCCAGGGAATTGTTCTCTGGCTCCTAAGCTTCGGTAGGGGAAGGCCGGAACCGTTAGGGGCTTTTGATGCTTTCACTGGCAATTGGGACGGGGTGGGCCTTCCTCCATCCATTGCACGCCGGTGCTCCGGCGGGATGGGGGACAATCTCATGGTCATTGCACGCCGGTGCTCCGGCGGGCCGTGGGATTGCGGGCTCACCGGGGATCGTCCAGGCCGCTCGAAATTGATCCGAGGCCGGGGCTGGGCGATCCCGGGAGGAAGGGCGCACCGGGCCGCCGGGACGTTTCCCGGTTAGGGCCGGTGCTACTCCTGCCGTCGGCTAAAGGCCGGCGGCGCGTTAATCTAGCCCGTCGGTGGCGTCTGCCGGAGGGTCCTGTGCCTTGTCCCTCTGCGGGTGGCGGAGGGCTGGGATCGAGTTTACTCGGCCGGTCCTTTTGCTGCTCGCTGAAGGGGTATGGTTGGACTTCCCCGGTGTGGTGTCGATCGGTGGGCGGAGCTCCCAGGGGTCGGGGGCGGCCTTCGGGGCGTCCTCGACACGGGTTTGGCGAACCCGGGGATACCCGAGCTCGGGCAGGCTGGGCTCATGAGGCTAGAAGCCAACCAGCCTAAAGAAAGGCCACCCCGAAAAGAAACCAATGTACAAACTATGCAATGTACACGATGAAAGAGAAGAACTCCTTGGACTCGGATTCCAAGGGCCGGCGTGTTGGTGGGGATATCGTCCCAGTCCTCCCCACGTCGTCATCGCACGATGGGCTGCCTGAGGCGTTGCCAGCGAACGCCTCAGAGGAAAATATGATCGCTCGGGGTGGGAGTAGAAGCCACCCCAAGGAGGACCGATATACGAGCCTCACGAACACGGTCCGGCAGTAGGCCGGGATCGTTGAGTTCAAAGGCGGGCGGAGGGGATGATAGCAGAGACTCGGGTAGAAACCTGAAAAGAGAAGGGAGGAAGGACCAGCGTTCGTCCTCCTTGGACGCTGCCAGGGACAGGTCAAGGCAGAGGAGACCTGATTTCAGGAAGCGTCACAATATGATGCCCGATCCACCAACGAGCGGAGACTCAGAGATGGAAACTACCGAGGGCAACCATCTCGAGGGCGACGATCCCACGATAGACGAACCTGTCAACGAAAGAACGCCCCCTGCATCCTCACCCGTGATCGAAATCACGGAAGGGAAGGAAACCTGCAGCGAGATGGATGACGGGGACGAGCTTCCTCCGCGTCCCGAGGACCAGGAAGAAGAGGAGGGGGGCTGCTGTGCGAGGACTGCACCAAGTGCGAAGCATGTGCGAGCCTGAATAGAAGACGAGGACGCCCCACGACTACGGGCATCGGGCTTGAACGCAAAGTTGCCAGAGTCAAGAAGGAGCTGGCCCGAGTCGAGAAACTAATAAAGGATTTACAAAATCCAGTGATCCCACCAAACCTCCCGAAGAACAGAAAGGTTTTGGAGATTAGAGAGGCTGAGAGACTAAAATACGCACCAACCCTAGAACTACTGGGTCTAATAATCGAGTCTCTCAGGGGCGTCAATAAAGTCGCCGAAAAGTCAAGGAACCTGAGTGGCCGGATGCGTAAGGTACTCAACAAATCGGCGGCGGCTATCTCTGCCTGCACCGGTCAACTGAGTCAGAGGATCAGGGATCAGGAGACCAGGGTGGGCAGAGACGTGGAGATGGAGGAGCTCAGGCGAAAAGTCTCGATCCGAGAGGCCGAGATTGAAAGCCTGAAAAAATTCAGAGAGCTAAATGAAAAGCTCTAGGCAGAGATACACACCATCCAGAAGCAAATGAACCTGCAACAGCAATACGTGCAGCTGTTGCAAGCACAGACAAGGACGGAAAACACGACGTTCATCAAGACCAGACCGGACAGAAAAGCCAAGCGGAGGAAAAACGTCATCGAGTCCTCTACCGATTCGGACGACATCGCTGGACACCCCGAAGGAGATTTCGCTGCTCCCCCTATCTACGCCGGAGAAGAAGACGTGGAGATGAGGCAAGTGGCGGAGGAAGAGGAGACCAAGAGCACCAGATACAAGGTGCTCAAGGAAATCCTCAAGGAGGGTATGCCATCGGCGATTAGGCCATTAATCGGAGGTCGCAATAAAGTGATCGACGAGGCCTGGACACCGTCGACGGCAAAGGAAGAAGGCGCCGAGGATAGCCGCGATGCGGAGATTAGGAGGCTCGCGGAAATGGTCGAGGAGCTCTCACAACGGGTGAGGAGCCAGAACCAGAGCGAGCAACCCGGCAAGAGGAAGAAAGAGCCACCAGCTGCGAAAAAGGGAGGAAAAGGTGTGACGCAAAAAGCCCCCGCGACAGCGGCGACTATCGCGACACCTGGCAGCGGAGTTACCGGAGGGAAAAAACCTGTCCCCTCCGCTCCGACATCCGCTGCTAAAACCACGGCCGTCGAGCTCTGGTCAACCGTGACAAAGAAGGGGAAGAAAGTGAACGCCAAGGCAGGCGCTCCCACTTCCGCTCCTAAACCGCTCCCGGGCGGCACCGGGACTCCGAAGCCGGCTCCCACCCCTTCTGCGAGGAGAACGGGTGCCGTGACAAAGAAGCCGGCTCCCAAACCCGGATCAGGCGTAACGAGCAAGGGTGGAAGCAGCGGCACGAACACTGGCTCAGCCGCGAAGCAAACCCCGAAAGCGAGGACGGTTTCCCGTACGGCGGCTGTCATACTGACATGCCCCGACGGGGAATACACCCCGAGAATATGAGGACCGCACGCTCCGCCATCAAGTTGGCAGATCTCGGGATCGAGCGGGCCCCAAACTTCAGGAGGACGGCCACCGGGGCAATCTGCCTCGAGGTGGCCGGTCCCGGCAATGCGGCGAAAGCGGACGCACTGGCGTCACGCATGAGGGCTGCATTGGAGGGAAAGGAGGGGGTTAGGAACTCGCGTCCGAAGGTGACCGCAGAAATCAAGCTCACTGGCCTGGAGGACTCGGTCACTCCGGAGGAGATAAGGCCGCGTTGGCGGAGAAAGGAAACGTTTCCCCCTCTTCCATACAACCCGGCCCATTGAGGCGAGGATCATACGGCATGTCCACGGTTGTGGTCAAATGCTGCGTGGCGGCCGTAAACAAAATAGTCAAGGAGAGGAGGATTGACGTCGGTTGGTCGGGCGCCAGAGTCCAACTCCTCGAGAAGAGGCCGGTGCAGTGTTACCGGTGCCTGGAGGTCGGGCACGTGAGGGTCAAGTGCCGCA